GAATAGTCTGAGTTCACATTAATGAGGACAGCAGGGTCATTGTGTTGATTTTACTGTAGCTTTATGTCAGTTTAATGCAGATGATGCGGTATTTACTATAATGATGCCATCAGTGTTCATCAGAGTCACCTGTAATGATCGTTACCAGGGCAGTTCAGGTGATGTTTAGGAATGAGGAAGTTATTGAGCAAAGGAACTTTTTTTTTTACTCATTTGGCCCCAAAGATCCCCTTTCTGAGGAATACTATGTGGTACAATCAAAACATCCAGAACAGGGGCTTAGTGCTTACGTAGTTTGGATTTTTATGTTTCCACGCATCCAGAAGTTTCCTCATTGTCTTCCTCTACCAGCGCTTCTAGAAATTAAAAGTGAGGAAAACTAATCTGATGATTGTGCACCAGACGGTTCAGTTTCTTGTAACGTACGTTTCGTCGTCAACATTTCGCCCATTTTAAGCCGTAAAATGAATCAGAAGAGTTGTTTTCTTAGGAATAACCTCGACATCTCCTAAAGGCTAAAACACACCACGTGACTCACACTGTTTTTCTTTTTCCACTCTGTGTTTATTGTCTGTCCGGGCTTCAGTCTGGTTCCTTCTGGTTCTCACTGTTTGCCTTCCAGACGGACCTGATGTTCAACATATTAAACTTAGCCCGAGACTAAAGCGCCCCAGCTCTTTGTCTTTTTCGACTTAAATGAAAGCCAGAGATTGAATCCAGGTTGCTCAGGCACTCGGTGATTCACTCTCTCTCTCTCTCTCTGGCAGGAAAACCAGCCGTCGCACACCATCCTAATCCTCACATGCACACAAACACAACACACACACACACACACACACACACACACACACACACAGAGCAGAAACAGTCCCAACCTGCATGCTTAGGACCATAATTAGAGATCATTTACACGGATCAAGTTGAACATAATCTGGACAGGAGGTAACTGAAGCCCGGCCATCTTTGCTCTGGGTCTGTGTGTGTGTTGAGGTGAGGGGGGTGGAGGAGAGAAAACAGTTCACCCAGGAAACGGCCGGGGTGTGCCCCAAACATGAGGCTGGGAGGTGGGAAGGAGGGGCTGGGCAAACACGAGATGGGGCAATCTCTCCCTCTGTGATGTTTGGGTTTCACTGCAGCTCCTCGGTGTTTGCTCTGCTCGTGTGTTTGTGTGTGCGCCGGCTGCACGTGAGCGCGCTCGTATCTCGCCGCACAAGCTGGTGCGAGGACCATTAGGTTATTAGCTCGGTCGGCGTTATCTTCGGGGCGATAAACCTAATGCATTTTGTGTAAAACACGCACACACACAATGGATCAGCATACATCACCTCCTGCGATAAGGAACCATAGATCATAGATTTGTCAACGTTACCTATTAAAGTCGTGTCATATAACACGATTCTTTGTGCATTGTGTTCGGTAATTTGAAAGTGCGTGTTGCTTATCTAAAAGCCAAGGCTGTTGGTTTATGTGTGTGTGTTGTGTTTTTTCTTTTTTTTCTTCCTCGTCTCTGATCCTTAATTGTTAAAAAGTGGGTCAGGCCCGGTGGCGCAAACATTTGGACGAACATAGACGCGCCGTGAATCAGCTCCAAACTCGTCTGAGGAAAATAACAGTTTCATGCCGCTTCAGTTTTTGGACGCTCCATTTCCTTCCTGCTTTCCTTGGCAACGCAGCGAAGCAAAATTAAAAGTAAAGAGAGCTGTGATTCAGCACATCAGACTCGAAACAGTCTCCTTCTGAGAAGTGGTGCAACAGAGAGTTTGATTTAATGTTCCTCTGAAAGACATGACTCAGTGAAGAGTGACGACCCAGAGGGCTGAGAGCTGTCGCTGTGCTACAGGTGATTTGGGGATTTAGAGCTTCTCTAAACAGTGTTTTTTACATGAAGGATGGATGGAATGACTGTATGTAATGTGAGGCACTGTGATGAACTGACTGTAGGCTGCAAGAACATCAACAAACAGCTGCTGAAGAAGGTCTGGCAGAAGATCCAAACGTTGTGTTTCCTACTAGAGGCCAGAGGAGATGTAGAAGGTGATTAAATGCTGGACTTCAGGGAGAAGTTCAGTGTTTTGGCGAATACATGTGTTTGCTTGTTGAGAATTAAATGAAAATAAAGATTTAGTTTTTCTGCAATCAGTTACTAACCTGTGTTTCCTCTGCAAGGACCAGGAGCTACAGGAGATTCTAGGGAAATGACTTTACTCCTCAGAAGCCTCCTGCTCAGGAGGTTGTACCTTTCAGAAGGGGTGGGATGTTCAGGGCTGAACATTTCAGATTGATTGAGTTCTTGCAGCATTTAATTGCAGCCGTCATTGTGTAGTCTCAGTCAAAAAACAAACAAGACATAAGGTGTTAACGGGTAGGTCTTGGAGGTGTCTGGTTGGAAAGCTGGTCTATTAGGGGCATTTTTATGCTTTTATTTAAAGGTGGAGAAAGACTGAGGGAGGGGAATGACTTGCAGCAAACGGTCCGTCCAGCCAGAAACTGAACTGGGGACTCACTGCTGAGGGCATTTGCGTCCATGTGGTATCTGCTCTAACTGCTGGGGTATCAGGTCGCCCCACGGTTGGCATACTTCTAGCCAGGACAGCTTTATCTTTGTCTCCAAGTCTTCATGCCAACATAAGCATGTCCTGGGACTTGCATTGTGCTCACCACAAGTTGATAAAGTGAATATTTATTTCTGAAAACTTTAGTTCTTTAATAAGTGAGCTCTAGTGGTGGTTGGTATAGTTTTGATCTCTGAAGATCCAAGTCAGCGGTTCCCTCTGCTTTCATCTTTATGCTTGGTCACTCCTGGGTTCAATATTTTCAGCTTGTCCTTGTGTCCAAAGTGACCCTAAAGTATGAACTTAGACCCAGACGGGCAACATGCAGGCTCGGTTTCCTAACCTGGTGTTGGTCCAACCTGTGATCTTCTCCTCACAGACGGCGGCTAAAAGACCTCCAAGGTGCCTATTTGAAAGGTGAGAGAGCGAGTATGTACCTGGATTCTTTGAGCTTGTTCTCAGTTTCACGTTTCATGTTTTTGAACCTGAACCTGTGATCTGTGGAGCTTTGAAGTGAGACGGGTTTAGGCCGAGCCGGCAGTGCTGGCAGCGAGAAAGCCACACCGTCCTGCAGGAGCGCTGGATATCAGTGTTGCCACAACATGGCAGCTGCCGGTTCACTGGTGCATCTGGCTTTGATGATAAAGGCCGGTGTCAAACTCCCACTGGGCTGGTATGAGGCTCTCCCTCTGTGTTGTCCGTCCGTTGCTCCGTCGGTGTTTTGCTCTCCCATCAAAGCAGCCTGTGAGGCGGGACCTCGGAAAATGTCGAGGGAAACTTGGAAGGCTTCTGTGTGATAGGCTGCATGTGTGGTTGTGCTTCAGCTGGCCCGACTGTGGGGCCTCGGGAAGCTGGTCATCGCATCCTCACAAGTCTCTCCACATATGCATAGCGGTGAGCCATCGGCCGGACGCCAAGGAGACTCCTGTAGGTGCACAAACACACAAACTGTCCTCTGTGGAAAATAGGGCGTTCATTCATCACTCGGTGTGGGCTGCTCTCAGCGTTCTCCTCATCCTGTCATTGAACTCAATCTCAAAAATGTCCACAAACACGTACTCATCATTTATACGACTAAATTCAAGAATTTAGTTTCAAGGTGCAGCGTTTAGCGCCGTTTCTTTGGAGGGAACTGAGGACAAATGAGTGAGAGGCAGTGGTCCTGGTACGGCGGGTGGTCAGTCAGGCTGTGGTCAGCAGGAATGTCAGGAATTGGGATGCTGAACAGAACCAGACTGTAAGAACATGAACGTGGTATTGTAAGTGTTAGAAGTGACACACAGGGAGGCTTTTTAGCCGCCAGTTTGAAAGAGTGGCGCTGGGGGTCAGCGAGTGTCGGGTGTGTGAATTTAATTTGAATTTTAACGAACGTGTGTGACGGTTTTGTATCAGTGAAGCAGAAGGAGAGGTTTGTAATGAGAGTGAACAAATTAGACTTTGCTAGAAACGCCTATACGCTCACGGTTTGTACTTCTACTGCTGCTCTACTAGGACGAAGCCTTTTCACTGGTTTTTAGTGTTTTCCTCTTAAAGCTTTCTATTTGCTTTTCAGTGCAGAGCGTTTAGGAATAGAGGATGTCGTGTGCTGTGAGGATTGTGATGTTCTCAGAGACTAATTTTGGGCTTTACAGATGAAAATAAACTCATCTGACACCACTTGCTTTACTATAATTCTACATTTAGAGCCAGATTTCATGCGTTTTATTTCATAGCATGAAGACAGACAGAAATAGGAAAGAGCTTCATGTTCTTCTTCTCCAAACAATTTCTAGAGATTCTTCCAAAAGTTGCTGGTGAAAGAAAAAAAGAAAAAAGAAGCCACAACATTGCTGTGACACTTGGCCAAAGCATGTGTTGTACGTTCGCCTGTTACTGTGAAACCGGCCCAGGAGCTGTGTTGGTGTATTAGAGGTGATGATTGGTCTGGTAGTAGGATAACATGACGACTGTATATTTAAAAACTGAGCAGACGGAGCGTTTGTCTGACACAGAGCTGCACTACTGCACATTTAGTTAAAACATAAAACACAAACAAGGAAGCTTTAAGTTTCTAAACCACAAAGACAGAATGCAGCAGTTTACATGGCGTATGCCAACATTGTACAACTCTGGAAGGATTTTCTCTCTCTGTCATCTCAGCGCTTCCAAAGTAAACAGCGAGCCAGCCCAGTATTACAGGGTAATTTCTATATGCCATTCCACTATTTGCCACAGCGTTCTGGCCGACCCACTGCAGCAGAACTCGAGCCATGTTTTTGCTAGACTCCGTGGAGCCCTCAGCAGCCGTCCAAACCAGAGGTTTCATAGTAATAAATGAGGAAACTACTGTGTTCGTCTTATGCAATTGTGGCCCTTGAAAGAAGAAATGCACTGTAATTTGAATCAGACCACTGACTTTGAAATAAAGTGGATTAATGATCAGTTCTTCCTTTCTGTCCTTCTCTCCAGACGATTACAGCTACCTGCCCGATGCGCTGCCTCCTCTTCCTGAAGTCCCGGACTCCGGCTCGGTCCTGAGCTCCGTTGACATCTCAGCCCGCTGCCTCCGCAACCCGGCCTTCCGCCACGCTTCCTCGCGCTACTGCTCCGCCCTCAGCATGGACTCCTCGCCGGACAGCGCCGAGAGGCCCATCAGCTACAGCTCCACCTCGTCCTCGGCCTCGTCCCGGGACAGTCACTGCTCGCTGGGGAGCCGCTCCACTCTGGTGGCCGCCCCTCACTGCAACCCCGTGACCTCCAACAGGGACTCCGGGGCCATTCGGTTGGAGCTGGTCCCCGCCAGGCAGCTGGGGTGTGGAGAGGAGGACGACAGAAACGACGGAGGGAATGACACAGGGAGTGGGAAAGGGAGGCAAGGTGGTGGACAGACTGCGACAGAGCATTCAGAACCAGAGCTGAGCCCAGAGGGAGGAGAGCGGACCAGTCAGGTGCAGGGACCCATAACGTACGTGGACCGGGTGGTGCAGGAAATACTGGACACAGAGAGAACATACGTCCAGGACCTGCGCAGCATCGTAGAGGTAAGGAAGAAGAGTCCATAGTGATGTGATGAATGCAGCATGTGAAGGAAATGAGGAGCAGAAGGATCCTACATGTGGGCAGAACCTCAAACGTATATTAGCACTTTTGGCAGAACATCAAACGCAGACGGAGGCCTTGAAGAGATTTACTCTTCTGCAAACTGCAACTTCTCAGCTTTCACCCAGGACATGTGTGTGAGGTTAGAATAGGATGCTTAATCCTGATTAGAAAGATCATCAGAAAATAAACACATAGCATCTAAAGTAAAAGTGTTGGTTCTGCAGATGTTCTGACATATAACATTAGATTACTGATGCATCATTGTGTGAGGAACATTTCACTCCTATAGCTGCTCGAGGTGGAGCTGGTTTTATCTACTTTACATGTTTTTAAGTAGTCTGGTGGTTGAATCCCAACCCTGAAGAGTCACACGATAAACCTTGTAACTCAAATTTAAACTCCTGTCCCCTCCAGGTTGGAGTCACTGGTTTAGACCAATACGTTGAGGATGCAACTGAAATAAGAGCATCATGGAACTTTATACCTCCCAAAGGTCTCATCTTTTATAGAGAAAAAACTCCAATTCACCAAAAGCACCAGTTCACAACAAAAGCCACCTCAGGGAGCGTAAGGTTAAGACCGTGTAGTGTTATAATATAAATCTAAATATTTATTGTGAGCAAGAAAAACTAGTTTTTAAAGACGAGAAACCTTCTGCAGAACCAGGCTCAGTGAGGGCAACTACCTGCCTCGACTGGTCGGGCCGACATAAAACAACAAGCAGCAGAACATTTCTGGTGAAGTGGACGATCTGCAGCTCAGGAACATTTAAATGAAATGTTTTCCAGCTGACTCAGAACGCTGGTAAATGTGTGTCGCCTTGATCTTTTCAGGAGGCTTTAAATCAGCAGATAACGCACATCCTTTAAGTGTTTTTCACTCACTGCTCGCTGCCGGCTGGGAACCTTTCATACAATAAAGTCACCTGCGCTTGCAGGCGGGGTTTGGCTGAGATACATGACACCGGCGCTTTTGTGCCGCACGCACACGCACTCGAGCGAACGCACGGTTTTTTGCGAGGTTGACTTTGAACTGCGAGGACACACATTGCCTCCAGTCAGTGCTGTGGTGGCATTGTTAAAGGTTGGGTGTTGTGGTTTGTATTAACGGCTGCTTCCCTTTCTTTCTCTCTCCTCTTTGTTTCTCTATTCGGCCTCTTTTGCTTCTCTGTGAAGCTTAAAGTTCATGGTGTCAAAAATAAAGAAAGTGCCCTGGACTCATGTGCTGTGTGTTGTGCATTTGTTGTCTGCAGGTCCATTTAAATTGACAGAACTTTGCATGGAGACTTTGCATGAAGCTCTGTCCACTTCTTCCCCCCACGCCCTCCGTCTCACCGGCGCTCCCTCCCCCACTCTGAGCAGTCCACGGGCCGCCACATGTGTGTATCCCTGAGTTCAGAACATTCATATGGAAAACGGCAGCAGTGAACTCATATTCCCAGCAGATGGGATGAGCAGGAGAGGAAAGGTTTTTGTTATGTGGTCTTGGCTTGTCACCCCTGATCGATGTCCCACCCTCCTCCTCCTCCTCCTTTCGTTGCCGCCCTCCGTCGGTGCACAGAGGTGAGGAAGCGGCACAGAGAGAGCAAAGTAGGAAGAGGGATTTAGGTTTGAGATAACAATGTCCAAAGTGGGTTAGGAAAACACTGAACAGAGCTCAGGAGCTGCACTTAATAACCCGTCTACGGCTTCTGCAGACCACCTATCGCCTATTAGTGGCTCAGACCACCCAGTCCAGGACACTCACATGGCAAGACAGCTAATTCTTCACCAGCACTTTGGAGCAGACATATGCATTTAGCCTTTCCTCACCCTTTTGATGACAGTTCCAGTGAGTGCATCAAGGATGGATTGCTCTGATTGTATCTGCATGAATACGGCTTTTAACGTGACAAGTTGCCCGTAGTGGAGAGAAAACTACAGCATCTATTATCAGTGCCGTCCTGTGTGAGCTGTTTCAATAATCCCTTTACCCGTGCTGCTTCCAGCGAGTGGAAGAGGGTGTGACAGCCTCAGTTCAAATATTTACCCAGACTCCCCTGGGCTCACCTGTGTTTCATCTGTCAGCAGCCGTGTTAGCGTGTTTTCTCACTTCTTTCCAGGGTGTTTTTTTTCCCCCTAAATGCTGCACATGTGCTGTTAAACTGGTGAAGATGTTCTCTTAGCTTTCTAGGCCACCGTACTTTTCCGTGCGTGAACGTTGTTTGGTGTTTGTTGGTTCTGCACGACCGCCCCTCCTCGGCTCGATCGGTGTGTGTAATGAGCCCAATCCGTCTTCCATAAACAATGTCAAAGAGAAAGCTCTGATCTCGCTTTCCCCGTCTCCTTGTTCCGCTCCCAGAGCTGGAACGCATGGCCAGTCCATTTGAAGTGAACCAGGAATTTGGAAATAATCGGGAAGCATCACTTGACCGCGTCGGGAATTCTCGAGTGCAGAGATTCGGTTGTTTGTCGGGAGGAAGAGCTTCCTGCTGCGAGGCGGATTGAGGAGTGTGTGCTCCAAGAGGTTAATGGTTAACACAAGAAAGCATCAGGTTTGTACATGTTGTGTCTGCGGCAGAGAGGAGCTTCAGGTGTGTGTGTGTGTGTGTGTGTGTGTGTGTGTGTGTGTGTGTGTGTGCGCTGATCTGAAGGCTGCCCTTTGTTGAGCTCGGTGAGGCTTCGGCTGAGTGCGATGAGTGAACGGGTCAGGCCGGGTCACATCTTTGACCCCGTGGCTAATAAAGCATCACCTTACACATTACTGCCGATAGTCAACAAAATCTAAACATGACCTCCTGACGTGACCCCCGACATGACCGCCAGCCTGCCCGTGAGCAGGATTCTCATTCTTTGCTCCTGTAATTCAAATCCTTGAACCAAAATGTCAGCTTGAACTATTTACGTCCAGCTCACGGCATGTTTGAAACCCGTCATCCCAAATCATTGTAGTAGTTCTCAGACACAGGGTATGCATCAGTAGTCTGGTGAAGTGATGGCATTTTGGCATTTAGACAGCCACAAAAGTAGAGAGTAGAAGGTACACGGACGATATCTGTAATATCAGTGCGAGCTTGGACAGAACACCGAGCAGCACAGGATGTAAAGTAGAGCGTTAGCAAACACAAAACTAAAGAAATGCAGCTGATAAAGTGTGACTGATACGACTGATAGATCCAGTCCAGTCTCCACGTTGGGGATTATTTAGATGTCCTCAGATTTATTCAAACCCGTCCATTAAAGAAAAGCAAAACTCACACCAGTCCCTCAAATAACTAGAAATAATAAAAATAGAAATAGAAGTACCGATAAATAAAAATGTGCTAAATTATAATTGAATGAAATAAGAGTTGCTTTTGAATTGTGGTTGAAAACATTAATTAAAAAAACAAAAGTGTCCTGGGCTAATGAGAGGCCTTTGTTGATGAGCAGTGAAACCAGAACACCTGTCAACAGGTGAGAAGTCTGACAGAGTTACAGGAAACACCTGATTGGCTCAGAGGGTTGTTCAGCTAAATATTAGTCTATGGGTCCCATCAGGCTGTTTTTTTTTGTTTTTTTTAAATATATTTCTGTTGAACCACAATTCAAAAGCAACGTCATGATGTTCATTAAATTGTTATTTATTATTACTTTTGTCAGTTTCAACTTATTTCAGCTGTTTTTTTTTCTTCTTTAATGGGAGGCTGTGAACACGTCTGAGGTCTGATCCACTAAATGTGAACAAATCTCTCTTGAGATGTTCTGATTGAACCTGCTGCTGTTTGATGTTTAGTAAAATCAGAGCAAAGTCTCCTGCAAACAGCCGGCGGTACCAGGTCGCTGTCTATAAACGTGACAGTCTTATGCTGAAAGCCGGGTCACTAGGTCCGACTTTGCCTTCGTGACTGTTGTGGAAACACGATGCTTATTCAGAAACGTAAACCAGCATGTTTAGAAGCTGTCAGTTAAACAGAGAGTCGGTGTCTGAAAGAGGCTTTTGTCTGTTTCTCTTTGCATTTCCCTCCCTTTGCCTAATCAAACAGTTTAATGGACCGCCGCCGAGGCTCAGTTATTACAACAATTAAAATAATAATCGCTAAACACACAAAACAGCACCAGGAACAGAAACTGAAGCAGAAGACGGACTGAACGGAGTCTGGTTTAATGTGCTGAAATCATCAGTGTGGGTGCATGTGAGGGCAACACGGTGCTTTTCTCAGGGCTGTGACGTCTTTACGGGGTTTTAAAACCGTTGCCCCTATCAGAAACCTGCTAAGATGTGAACACGCATGGGTGGAATCATTTGTTGTGCATGTGAACTGTGTTTGTTTCTGTGTAGCTGTGGTTTGGGTTTGGCTCAGGTTGGCAGGTTTTCATCGCCTGCAGGAACAGATACGATCAGAGCTCAGGTCGCGTGATCGAGACAGACAAGCAGGAGACACTTTATGAAACCAAGCGGATAGACAGACGCTGTGTGTGTGTGTGTGTGTGTGTGTGTGTTGTACAGCGTAGTAATGGTTTTATACTTTTACTAGCTTACAGATCTCACAAAGATGATGAAGTGTCACGCATTTGTCAAAACATCCTCAAACCGCCCAGAGACATGCTGGTTTAGAGATATAACAGCAGCAGTCCTTCATTCAGAGAACATCTAGTTTGATTAAAGCAATTTTTAAAGAAGCTGCCGTCATTGGATCTACGTTTTCTGCTAAAATCCGGTACAACGAGTAAGAAAACCCCCCAAACTCTGCAGAGAAACACCCAGTTAATGCATCACTTCTTCTTCCAGCTGCTGGCCGATCTGTCTTTCTCTCTCCACCTCTTTCTTTCTTTCTTTCTCTCTGCAGGCCAGACAGAAAGCTGAGGCTGCTGTTTAGTCGCAGTCATATCGGCTTTCATCACTAACGGCACTGATGGTGACGCTGATTAGAGCAACACAGTTAAACCTTCCTGTTTTTCAACATGAAACCTGCGTTTCTCAGCGACGAACTGACTTACAACAAACCCGACGCCCTGCTCGATGCCCCTATCGAGCTGTTCACACAAAACAAGAATGCAGAATAACGTATTGGGTTAAAAAAAGAAAACACAAAAGGGGGCAGGATACTAGAGTTGAATACTTCAGTAGACTTTTTAAACTGGTTTTAAAAGCTTGTTTTGAGTTTCTCTCTCACTGTACTGAACTGAAATGATATGAGAACAGGTGTGGATGTTTGGATGAAGAGGATGAGGGCTCACAGCTGGACAGCAGCTGGATGAGGCTGGAGTTTGATCTACCTGCACCCTCCTCAGATTTGATGTAACTGAGCTTGTAGTCGGGTGACGAAGCTTCAACGTCGTGACTCACAAAGTTTTCAGTTTATTGAGAAATCCCTGAAAGTAGCATCATTAACCAGTTTGTCGCTACACGTTCTGTGGTGCTGGAGGACATCCAAGGATGAAGTTAGAAGTTCAGCTTCTATTCAGCCCTGGATCGGGGAAGTGTTTGCTTAACAGATCAGGTTGTTGGTGGAAGATTGTGGGTTTAACAGCGAGAGTCTCTTAGTCCCTTTTTTTCTGTTTTAAACCCTGATCTTAAAATTCATCATCTTTTGCCACAGACAGAAACAGAAATCCCACCTGCTCTGCTGCTGGAGCTCTCACACTAAAACATCCACAGCACACAGACCGCAGCCAGAGCTCGACTGTGTTTGGACATTTTCAACAGGATTTCTTTACTCTCCGGCCAAAGTAGAGCCAGCTGTCCGAGGGAGTTTAGAAGCTGCAGGTTTAAAGTCTGCCACATGTGTTTGCCTGGTGCCAATCAAGACGTCAGCTCTGTGCAGTCCCTCTGACGTGACTCTGGCCTCTCGCTCTCCCTGCAGGACTACTTGGAGTGCATCAGCAACAACTCTCGACTGGCCCTGAGCTCGGAGGATAAAGGCTCGCTGTTTGGCAACATCCAGGACATCTACCACTTCAACAGGTACCACACAGACACAGAGGTGGAGGCTTGTGAATGTCCACTCAAGTCTGACTTAAGTCACAAAAATAAGGACTTGGAGTGCTGTGAGGCTTAACGTACTTAGAAACTGACAGACGTGGCCTCTCGTAGCGCTCACAACTCGACTTGGGCATCGAGGACGAGTTCCAAAGTTTGAATGCACCCCGCCATCTGAACTAATAATTTATACTATTCAGTGTTTGCTGATCTTAATAGACAGAAATGTTCAGCAGAGGAAGGAAGTCAAGTAAAAGTATTAATAGCACAACGTAGAAGTGCTACATCGAAAACGTTAGTTAAAGCATCTACCGTAAGTTTCAGACTGTTGCTGCACTTGTCTATAAGCCGCAGGTGTCCACGTTGTAGCGCAGAAAGATGTTTAAAACTTTAAATAAAAAACGAACAGGAAAAAAAAAAAAAAACGAACCGAAAAGCCGGAAAAACGCCGGGTAAAAAAAAAAAAACACAACAACCTACCAGGAAAAGTCACTGATCGCTATCTTCATCTTCCTCCTGCACTAAAACCACTAAAGTCGTCGTCTTCAGCCTCAGAACACTTCGTCACTTCCTCAGTCTCTCTGTCGTCGTCTCTCTCGACGTCACTTTGGTCTCGAGGCAAATTAGTAAAAATCCATAAATTAGCCGCATCATTGTTTAAACCACAGTGTGAAAAAAGTAGCTGCTTATAGTCCAGACATTACGGTAAATATAATCAGATAAGTGTATTTTGGTATTTGAAGTAAATGAAATATTACTGAAACTATACGGAGGTGGAACTTTATTCTTCTCTCACATTTATTTCTAACAGTTATGACTGTTTCAGTAAATTGTGCTTCATGTCTGAGTAAACCGAATATATCACGCTGCTGCTGCTGGTCGTGTCTCATAAATCTCCAGATACTGGCCTCGTCTCACACATTTCCTAAACGTGTGCACAAACAGGACAGTAAAATGTCACCGTCCAGTTCAACAGCTTTGCATTAACTCCATCATGATGAAGCTCACATTGTTCAGTTTTTGTTAACGTAGTTGTGAAAGTGTAAATCCCTTCTTTAGTTTGTCACTGAGGTTACAGTTAGTTTTGTGCTGCACCATCTTAAAGCGTCAGTAAAATGCATACCACTGCAGCACCGCCACTAGCTCGGGCCCCAGTCTAAAATAACACCTCTATCAACATAAACTGAACATTACTGGCATCAGAAGACGGCTGTAAAATCCCACACGACCCCAACAGCTCCACACGCTGTAAAACTCTGCCTGTTAGAATAAACTGGAGCGTGTGTGAAGCCCAGCCGTCCTCTGAGCCGGGACTGACATGACAATCAGCTCAGACTTTGAAATAACGCCCCGTCACATAAAAACACGCCGACAGACTCTCGTCTCTCTCAGGCTTCACAAACAATGCAAAAAAAAAACCTCTGCTGAGCCACCTGTTGATTTCTGGGAAGGGCGTTGGTGCCGCAGTCAGGTGTGTGTGTGTGTGTTGTTTGCGAGTGTATATAATCAGTCTGCATATTTGTCTCCTCCAGCATCGCTCCAAGCCGTGTGTTTGTGGGTGTGACTTGTGCATCCAGACTAAATGGCCAGTTGAGCATCAGCCCTGGTGGTCTGGAGACACAAACATTCTGTCCCACCTATTCATTTCTCAGCTGCCGCGCACAGACAAGCTGGCCAGTAAAAGGAAGCATAAAAGCAGTTTAGAGCGGTCAGCATGACCTCATGCTTTGGCCATGAAACAATAACTTCGGCGGCGGCGTTTTTTTCTTGTATGCACTTACAAGCCGTGACACCCGGGAGCTGGCTGTTTGAATACATGGAAGTTTCTTATTTGTTCCGCATCGAGTGACCTTAGACCTAATTTTTGCAGCCACGGTGACTCTTACTGATGAAATTTCACAATTGTTTGGAACAATGAATCACAGGAGAGTCATTTAAATGTGAGTGTCGAGGGAAGATGATGAATGCGGTGAACGTGTGTTAAAGTCCGTGAACTCTGCGTTTGTTTCAGGGACCTTCTTCATCATCTTGAGAAGTGCAACGCAGACCCTGTGGCCATCGCAGAGTGCTTTGTATCCAAGGTAAATCCTCACCTGCCTGCCGTCCTTCCCTTCTTTTCCTCCGCCTTTCGTCCACCTAGTTGAACAATGTTTCACAAAATCCACACATTGGAAGAAAATACTAATCTGTGCTGCACTGTTAAGGTCCCACATCGTAAAAATCCATTTTCATGTAATTTTTATTTTCTGTAGACGAGTACAATAAAAGCAGCTGAAACAAAGACATTTACTCTGAGTGCACCAGGTAGACTTTCTGCTGTTAAATCTAAAGTGTCTCAGCAACGAGCAAAACACACTAAATGTTCAGCTGTTGGCTACAAGAGTGAACACAACAGGTTTTGTGCAGTGCCAGCACCGAGTAGGCTTCTTATATGTTTGACAGCAATGTCATCACAACAGTAGGAGAACCCGTAGTGTTAGCATGCTGCGGTGCTAATGTGGCTAATGCTACTGTTAGCAGGTCAGAGTTCTGTGGAAACTGTAACCCTGAGGCACATTCAGAGACGGTGGAAACTTCTAGACGAGGGATGTCTAATATTGGCTTTTTTGCCGATATCATCCAACTCTCACATATCAATCGATACCGATGTATGTTTGTTACTGCAGCCACACTTGTTTACACGCTTCACGATGCAGTTTAATGTCGGCATTATTATTGTTTTATCGGTTTTCATTACAGACAAAAAACAAACCGATAACGATGTTGACAGATATTACATTTTTATGCCAATATCGGGCCGATAATATCGGTGGGTCGATGTGATTGGACGTCCCTATTTAAGACTCATTTCAAACTAAACCAGAGTCATGGTGCAATAAAACACCTTAGCAGTGTTTTGAGCGGTATGGGACATGTGAGACTTTCATTAATCTGATGTAAACGGGGCACGATACGGGACCTTTAAATAAGATTTTTAATAAACTTTCGCTTGCAGTGGACGACTTTAGCACTGTGGTATCAGCTTCAGTAAAGGTTATGCACTTCTTCCACATTGTTTGACTTTCTGGCTACATGCACTCTCTGCTTGTTCAAACCTGTCTGCACAGCTGCTTTGGTCCCATGCACGCAAAGACATACGCTGGATATAAAAACAGTAACTGCGTTATTATAAAGATAACTTCCAAACATCAGACAAAGACACTGCGATAAACTTCTTAGAAAGTTCATTTAGGGTTAGTGGCATTACTTTGGCAGTGGAAATGGCTGATTTAAGTGCAGCATGAGGGCAGGGAGGAACAACAGCCCCAGAGGAATTTTAAGCACCATCCAAATATGCAATCACCTTTTTTACTGGAAGGGGGATAATAGTAGTGCTTCATCAGGAAAAACTGGACTCAGCAACTCTGCTCAAAGTATCACTAGTCCCTCCGTCCATGTGTTTTTATTCCAGTGCTGGTTTTTTACCGATCCATGCCCCCACAAAGCGATTGTACGACCATGTCCCATGATAACGCGCTGCATTCCGGCACTTCCTCTTAAACACTTTACATTCCCTCCCTGCTCTGCTGCAATTACACCCAATACCACAGAGCAACTGTCTGACCATGTACAAAAAAAAAAACAAGTCGCAGTCAGCGTCACAGACTCTCTAAATACAGCAGCTGTTGTTGAGACAAACTGGTTTTATGGCAGCCCACATCACCGCTCTGCATAATTAGCTGTGATCCATAAACAAACCAGCATCTTGACATCTGGGATCCAACACATTCATGCTGCAATTTGCAAAAACAAAAAATATCAAACCGACATGTCAGCCACGTGGAGAAAAGCCATTTGGTGACATTCTTGGCTTCGGATGATCAGACCCACCGGTTACTGGACCTAATCTGCATCACTGACGGGTTTTCTGCAGCCAGTGCAACACTGACCATAAAACCAGTAAAGCATCCTCGTGGTATTTACTGTGTGGTTTGGCCGGCCGTCAAGTTGGGCCGGCGCCAGCTGGAAGCGAGGCTCCACCTTCTCAAATCACATCCTGCCTGGAGATTCCTCCTCCTGATAACGTTTGTCTTATGAGACTTGTACTCGTTCTGTTTGTACTCTTTGTACTGTATTTTTTTGATGGAAGCAGTAACAGCGTCCTGGCTAGCTGCCCATCACACGCTCTTCTGTGCAAGACTTCACTGCAACGTGTGTCATGAACTTTTTTGTGCCTTTCTTCTGGCAATTTTTCACACTTTGAAACAACAGTAAAATCAGCATTTGTGTAGTTACCCTCTGAACCCTAGAAGCCACCGCTGGATTTGCAATGCGTCATCGTTTAACCCTCCGATTATCGTTGGGTTCAATTTGACCCCATTCAGTGTTTCACATAAATAAATAAGCCATTGACATAATGTTTTCAGGTTTGTTTAAAGGGCTATTTACACATAAACTTGGGTAACCATTATAATTATGAGATTTTCTGGGGGTGTAAATTGCTGGGGTCAGATTGAACCCAAGGATCAAAGATGTCAGTAAATGTGAAGGTAGCAGGAGGGTTAAAGAAATGCCAACATCATTATTAGCAAAAAACAACTGTGAGCAGAAGTCATGTTGCAAAAATTCAGGGACTTTCTTTGGGCTGAACTACAGGCTGTGTTTACACAGAGCAGCCTATCCCAACTGACTGAGGGTGAAGGCAGGTTCACCTGGACAGGTAACCAGTCTATCACAGGGCTACACTTAGAGACAGACAACCAAGCACACTCACATTCACACCTACGGACAATTTACAATCACCAATTAACCTCAGCATGTTTCTGGACTGTGGGAGGAAGCCGGAGAACGACTTGTCTTTAGCCTAGTTTTGTCAGTCAGTAGTTTCAATAGTCGTATGAGGAGGTCAGTGGTCCATCCAACACCTGGAGATGTTCACTCACTGCCCATCAGAGCAGCCAGTCAGAGCTGCTGCTGTGTACCTGTGTGCGGTTTCATAATCTGCAGGCTGACTTCTGGTAAAAGGCTGGTAACCAGAGTTCCTTTGTGTTGCTGAGGGTTAGTCATGGTTGCTAAGACCCAGAAAACCACAAAACCTCTCTTTCACTATCGGCTGTGAAATGCACACACACACACACACACACTCACATGTTTGTGTGGATATCTTTGTGAGGACGCTGGTCGACATGAAGCCTCTTCCTCTAACCTCAGCCGTCGCAGCTAGGTGCCTAACCCCAGCCTTAACCCTGGCCTAAACCTTAGCCCTGAAACCCAGCCTTAACCCTCAGTCGGCCCTTTAAAGGTCTGGGCTTTACCTGAGTGTCCTCACACCGCTGGAAGAAAGCACACACTATTAGAGCTGCTCTGCTCTCAGCAGCCAAGAATCACAACCCAGCGCAGTGTTTGAAGAGGAGACAGATCTGGTTGTAAATCTCTACAGATAATTGGCTATCTATCCTCGTGTTCCTCTCTCTGCTATGTGTTGAGTAAGCCTTTAAAGCATTTTGTGGGTCGCTACTTGCTGACTGAAGCACAGAGAGCACAATTACAGCGAGATCTTAATCTGCGTTTTTTATGTTCAGTGCTTACCTGATGACTCACTGTGACCAGTCCGGTCTCGACGAATAACAATAAAACCTGCTGCTGAAGCGATGAGAGGGAGCCCATCCAACCCTTTTCTTTTTTGTTCTCCTCTGTAGTGGCTCAAACAACTCTTTCCATGTAATTTGTATCTTGATCCTCCAAACATGGGTATTTTTGATTTCCATCATGTGTAGCAGCTGCTCAGGGCTCATGATGATTATATGATTTAACACGGCTTGTGTATATTTCTAAAAGGGAAATGTAGCGTCGATGGGAGCTATTTCAAGGCCCGCTGGTTTCCTGGTTGGGTTCAAAGTGTTTGTCTGCACGCTTTGCAGACATTTGTATTACATAGGAGCTTTTGTGGTCTCGCGCTCGCGGTGCGGCGGGATATTAGGAGTGTGTATTAGCAGCGTGTTGGCGTGTGTCATCAGAAATCGATGGTGGCACATCTGGTTGCGTTTAGGCCTGGTCTGTGGCGGCAGACTGCTGGAGACGAGGAGGAGAACTCTGCTCTTCAATTTAGGAAGGTTCCCACGGAGCACCTCGGGCTAACAAATCATGAGAGTCTGTCTGTGCCTGCACATCAGTGTCTTTGCTCAGTATACTGTTGGTGTGAGCCAGGATTTTATATTTACTGACAACATCCACTCACGTCTGCTGCGTGAAGGTTTCTATGAATCCCATGTTGGAAAATGTGCAATAATATCCGCAGCGCTCGTGTTTGTCCGTGTGTGTGTGGATGGACTTCTGTCATCTGTCCTCTGTGTTTATGATGCTGCTTCCTGGAAGCTGTGTGCATCCTGCGACCTCCTGGTGTTTATGGACACAAACGGAGTTCAATTAGACTCTCACGTTACGCAACCGCGATGGGGTTCACGTCGAGGCCTCCAGTAGAGCGACGATAAGGAGGGAGGATGATGAAGAGGAAACCTCACAGAGGGAGAATGTCCATAAAAGATCAATGAAGAGAAGACCTGAAAAGAAAAAAGCATGTTACAGAAATGGAAATGAGGAGAGAGCCCGGATTATACGAGGATGAGAGCAAAAGGGGGTTCGCTGTGGCTTTGATAAGTCGTCCTGTCTCTGATGTCTTTGATCTTCAGAGAGGTATGCAAGGTGGGAAAAGTCTCGGTTAAAGGGGCGGCGGAGGAGGCAGGAGGGGATATTTAATCTGAGCGCTCAGGGCTGCTGGGATAAACAGAGAATTAAAGGCCGGCTGCAGACTAATCATAAGCTGCAGCGATGAGGTTCAATTAGGATCAGTGAACGGAGCAGCAAACACCAAACAAGCAGCCAGTCATCAAAGCTGGCAGAACCCGCTGCAGATGCACCGTAAACAGCGATAAACAGGAAAAACCATGCAGATAAATCTGATCTTTAACGTACAGCACCAGAGGTATCCTGGGTTCTGGCCCGTTTACTGCAAGGCACCTCTACTTAAATTTACAACCAATTATCAGTCAACCAGTGCTGGTTTTTTTCTGTTTCTTACTGTTCAAATCACTTCTACATAATAATGTATTAGCAAACTCTTGTATTTCAACTTTAAATCCAGGTTAGAGTTTGACAAAGGAGCACTATCGCTGTGAGGAAACTGAGCAGGCTGCAATTAAACTGACAAAGAGCAACGCAGACCTCATGTTTACCGTGGCTGGTGTGAGTCAGCTAATGCTTTTTTTTTAAAGGTTTAAAATGTGCAGGCACTCTGAGCATTATTGGTTCTATAAAGTGCACAACCAGAACCTGTTAATGAATGCTGTCGGAGATGATTTCTCAATAAAAAACATGCATGTAGAGTTTGCTACCACATGTCAAGGTGCTTTGGATATAAAACTCAGTCTTAAAGATTTATGTGAAGTTTGGAATTGCAGTGAAACGTCGACATGAATTCCTGCCGTCATCAGGTTCAAAGTTACGGCGAATACCTGCTAAACTAATGACATTCCCATCAGGCTCGGCTCGAATAATTACAGCTTTTGATTGTGACCTTGTTATTATGCCGACATCAACATCCGAGCAGCGCCTGCAGTTACAGTTTAAACGTTGGGGGAGGTTCGTTCTTTCCTCCATCACAGCATCCTTTTCCTCATCTTCACTCGTCTCCTTGTTGCAGAAACGCATCACCTGATTTACTCCTGTTGTGTTTTTTTTTACAGAGTGAAGAGTTCCACATTTACACCCAGTACTGCACCAACTACCCACGGTGAGAAAACCCACCTCTGTGTTTGTGTTCAGCGCTCTACTGTACGATTGTTATCTCGCCTCCGCACGCCGTCTTCCCAGCGTCTCACATAGCTCCATTGTGTACGTGGTTCAATGCATCACCTCTTCTCCCCTCCCTGACGAGCTGTCACGCTCTATAGAAGCCTCCTCAGCAGGAGTCAAAGTGTCTGCCGTCAGTTTTGCCTCAGGGTCTCTTTACCTACTTTAGTTTTTTTCCCCTGCCGTTCTTTTATTCGGGGCCTATTGACAGAGTTACAGCCGATACACTGACAGATGTGGTATTAAACTTGTCACCTTATCACACCTAACGCCGCTAATGTTTTATTCTGCTTTGTGCGAGCGCCGCCGGGACACCTGCGTGGAATAATGTGGTGCATTTTTGGGTCAGTGTGTACATTGTGCACGATGAAACGTGAGGCCGTTATCATGCCGTGATACACCGAACACACACCTTCCCCTCTGGCTATCGTTTTCCAGTTATGATAAGAAAGGTGCAGGAGGAAGAAAATAGTTGAGAGCAAATAATGACTAATTAAAAGCTGATTGTGTGTGTGTGTGTGTGTGTGTGTGTGTGTGTGT